TACCCTGCCATTGCCGGAAGCCCAGGACCTGCTGTGTGTCTCTGCTGGCCAGCTGCACTAGCCCAGAAGGGGAGGACAGGGCAATAATGCCTGGGGTCCCCAGGAACCAAACCCCTGCAATAAAGGGGAGCCAATGGTTACATAGTTACATAGTATTTGAGGTTGAATAAAGACATTAGTCCATCAAGTCCAACCTATTAGGATCTCATTCTAGGAGTACCCGTACAACTGTATATTACCTGTACCCCTGTATATTACGGTCCCTTAAGAAATCGTCCAAAAGTTTCTTGAACAATTCCACATTATTTGCTGAAATCACCGTCTGTGGCAGTGAGTTCCAGACCCTAACTGATCTTACTGTGAAGAACCCCCTTCGCCCCTTGTGCTGGAATTTTTTTCCACCAATTTTAGGTGGTGGCCTCTAGTTTTTGTAATGGAGTTAATTTTAAACAGTTTATCGCTAATGTTGCTGCCACCATTGAACATTTTGTACATGGAGATCATATCCCCCCTAAGTCTTTCTACCATTTTCCCTCCCAGGAATGCTGCACCTTTGGTCTCCGGTTGCTGTCCTGGAAGATTGGGGGAAACTCCACTAAGCTGACTATTCAACTTGCTGAAGGTCATTCCCTGACAAATGTCAAAAGTGCCCCCAAATAAGAATTTTAATCCAGTTCCACCAATCTCTGTGCTTCATCTTATGGCCATTAGATTACCAGGCCATCTAGCAAGGTCTGCAGGAAAATGCTTTCTGGAGCCCGCACTATGCAACTTCCTCTCCACTTCCTGTGCTACCAATCACATTCAGAAAGTCTCTGATCTGCGAGAACCTGAGCTTCTACCACAACATTCTCTGTAGGAAGAGCAGCGGGTGTTCCATCATCAAGTGGACACTCCAGGATCACTGCAGAAGGGAACTGTAGTTGGCTGGTGCCATTCAGCATTGCCTGGAAACACCAAGTGCCAAGTTTAAAGACGATGCTCCCTGTATGCATCTCAATTCTTCACTTTTGACTGGAGTGCACCTTTAAAAATGTACAACTGATCAAGAAAAGTGCTAAAATACTTCAAATGCAACCATTTTCCCTGCAGTGGTGAAGCACTGGTCACATGACCTTACAGGGAGGGATGTGCAAGAACAAACAGCTCTAAACTTGTGTCAGACAGGACAAAGCAACACGTTCTCCAAATTTCCCCTCCTCTCCAATGCACACCTATTGATTTTACTCCCTTGTCAGACGAGAAGGGAAATGCCCTGTACGGGGGGCAACTCGCTCCTTTCCACATATCAGTGCTTGGCCAGTCAGGCATCCAGTGCAGCCGCTTGAGGCAGGGGACAGACTCCTTAGCATTCAGCAAGTTCCATTTTGGTGGTGGGGAGGGGGG